CTTCGTCATCAGTTAGGAACCTAGGTGTGCTATTTGATAGCAATCTTTCCTTTGAAAGCCACATTTCTAGCATTTGTAAAACTGCATTTTTCCATCTCAAAAATATATCTAAATTACGACCTATGCTGTCAATGTCAAATGCAGAAACGTTAATTCATGCATTAATGACCTCAAGGTTAGATTATTGTAATGCTTTATTGGGTGCATCTATGCAAACACATCCTGGTGCACCGATACTGTTATTACTAAATCCCACTGTTCTGCTGATATTGAATACATCTTTATCAAGTGCAGACCCTTTTACCTGCCCCGTGAATTTACATCTGCCATAATCGCTGCAGTGTATGTACCCCCGGATGCTAATGCTAAACTAGCTATGAAAGAGCTCTCTTCTGTTGTCAGTAACCTGCAAACAACACATCCGGACAGAGCTTTTATCATTACTGGTGATTTCAATCATGACAATTTGAGAACAGCTCTTGCCAAATTTTATCAAAATGTTTTAGGCCCCACAAGAGGAGACAACACTCTTGATCATGTCTACACAAACATTTCTGATGCCTATAAAGCAACTCCCCTCCCCCACGTTGGACAATCTGATCACCTATCCCTGTTCCTGCTACCCAAATACCCCCCCATCATCAAACGTGTGAAACCCACAGTGAGGACTGTTAAAGTTTGGCTGGAAGGAGCAGATTCATCACTACAGCATGAGTTCCAGAACACAGACTGGAATGCGTTTGCTTCTCGGGCTACACTGGACTCCCACACAGACATTAATACCTACACCAGTTCTGTTCTGCAACATATCAACAGATGTGTTGACAGGGTAACAACCCATAAAATAATTAAAATACACCCCAATCAGAAACCTTGGATGAACAAGGAAGTCCAACTCCTGCTGAAGGCACGCAATGCTGCTTTCAGACCTGGCGACCGTGAAGCCTACAATTTATCCAGAGCCAATCTGAAGAGGGACATTCAAGCAGCCAAATATAACTACAAACTGCGTATTGAGGACAGGTTTCAAAACAACGACCCTCGATGCATGTAGACAAGCAAACATGCATGTAACGGCCAAACGGATGTCTATATAGGATATTGTACAGTGCATCACATGCTTCAATGCTGTTTCGCGCTCTTTTACGTTACGTGTAGATGTTATTGAATAAAATACGACCCTCGATGCATGTAGACAGGCAAACATGCCCTCACAGTCCAGCAAACAGCACCCCCTCAACCAGCAGTGCCACCCTCCCAGACGTACTGAATAAATTTTATGCTCGCTTTTGATCGTGGAAACACAGAACCACCCATCAAAGCTGTGCTCACATCTGATGACCTACCTCTCACTTTTTCCACCAGTGACGTGTGCTCCACCCTGAGTAAGGTGAACGTGCATAAAGCTGCCGGCCCTGACGGCATCCCTGACCAAGTGATTAGGGCCTGTGCAGATCAGCTGGCTGAGGTCTTCACAAACATTTTCAACCTCTTTTTGACTCAGGCCTTTGTCCCCACCTGCTTCAAAACAGCCACCATTGTACCAGTACCAAAACATGCTGCTGCAGTCACCCTCAATGACTTCCGCCCTGTCGCTCTTACTCCCATAATTGCAAAGTGTTTTGAGAGGCTGGTCCTCTCCCACCTGAAACCATGCTTGCCCCCAACACTGGACTATATGGGTTGCCTAAAGACCCAACAGGTCAACTGAGGATGCCATCACCTCAGCTCTCCACTCTGCCCTGACACACTGGGACAGTAACAACACATACATCAGGATGCTATTCATTGATTTCAGTTCTGCCTTTAATACAGTGATCCCATCCAAACTGATCTCCAAGCTCAGTGATCTTGGCATCAGCCCCTCCCTCTGTAACTGGACCCTGGACTTTCTCACCACCAGACCACAGTCTGTTAGGATCAGTAACCACACTTCCTCCATCCTCACTTTAATCACTGGTGTACCACAGCGCTATGTGCTGAGCCCAATCCTTTACTCCCTTTTCACCCACAACTGCATACATGTGCATGGCTCTAACTCCATAATCAAGTTTGCAGATGACACCACGGTGACAGGACTGATCACTGGTGATGATGAGACGACCTACAGGGACGATGTTCAGCAACAGCGCCTTTACTTCCTTAGGAAACTAAGGGAAGCTCACCTGCCTTCAACTTCTACCGTTGTACTACTGAAAGTATTCTTACAAACTGCATCACAGTGTGGTACGGCAACTGCACTGTCTCAGACAAGAAGGCCCTCCAGCAGGTGGTGAAAACTCCCCAATACATCACTGGTGTTGGGCTACCCTCTATCAAAGACATTCACCACAAACGCTGCCTAAGGAGAGTGAGAAGTATTCTCAAAGTCTCCTCTCACCACAACCACAGACTGTTCACTTCTCTCCCCTCTGGGAGACGTTATAGGAGTCTTCGCTGTTGCACCAGCAGACTCAGGAATAGTTTCTTTTCCTCAGCTGTCAGCCTACTGAAATCTAATCTCAGACGCTGAACACTACATCCTAGACGGACCACCTAATGTGGAAAAAAAACTGCTCTGCACAATATCCTGTCTTCTATGCACACTTACAATGTTTCTTATTATTCCTCCTGATATTTTGCTAATTCCTTTGCACATTTCTACCTCCTAATGCCATTTGCACTGTTATGGTCACTGGCCACACAGAAATATACACTGTTGATATACCTCACTCTGTATAATGCACCTTGTTATACTTGTTAATTTGCACCTTGTTATATTTACAGTTATTTGCATTGAGCTGGTCTCTGTTTCTCTACTTCAATACTTGCACTCTGTACAATAATGTATATATACACATATATTACATATACATATATATGTTTATATTTATTTATATACATTGCTATTTGCACTTCTGGTTAGATGCTAACTGCATTTCATTGGCTCTGTACTTGTACTCTGCACAATGACAAAGTTGAATCTAATCTAATCTAAAAATACAGCAAACACTGACGTTCAGGGCTCCAACAGCCTTCAGTGCACAACCTGAGGCAGCGATTCTAGAGTGTGCACTTGCAAAACACTGCCTCGTAAAGCTTCGAAACCTTTGCGAATCATTCGTTTCAAACTAGTGATGGGCGCTTTCAAAGCACTGCTTCGTGAAACTTTTCATATATTATACTTTCAATCAAACATTTCCAGTGGGTTTGTAAAAGCAGTTTTAATGCAAGATTTTGTTGCAAGCCATGGCGCTCTCACGCCACACATCTGCTGCGTCCCAATGTGCCTACATACTACGCCCTTAAAGTACTCTTTTGGTGAAGTAAACATACACACTTTTGAGTGTGTAGAAGAAGAGTAGGCAAGCTTTGGGACATACTATCACATCATACAATTGCGTCTTTAACGGACCGCTCTGTAACATAGTTACACGCACCCTGTCACTGTACACTGGCCTGTCAATAATCTTGTCACAGTTAACATCCTCCACATTTCATTTCATTTAACTCCCTACCGTATTGGAGAGAAAATACATAGCACGTTGATCTGCCAGCCGAGGGTCTTTATGTGGAGAGCTCTGCTCAGATTTTTGTATAATGATGCATTTAAAAGTTAATGGCCAAACGGATGTCTATATAGGATATTGTACAGTGCATCACGTGCTTCGATGCTGTTTCGCGCTCTTTTACGTTACGTGTAGATGTTATTGAATAAAATCTCCAGCGCTAGCACAACGAACACTACGTTTACGTCAGAATTCCGTAATTACCACTAGTACCTAAAACGTGATCGCGTCTTGTTAAATGAAACGCTTAAAATCATGAATTTCGTCAAGAACTTCAACAGATTCAATGGCAATTCTCGAACTTTTTTGTCAGCGATCACTACTGGGCAGACTATGACTCCAAATAACGTAATTTTCGTAAGATGACAGCGGCCATACTGAGAATGTTTTGGCTTCACTTTTCTATAGTGGAAGGAAGTGGAGACGCGTCGTCCATGTTTTTTACAGTCTATGGTATAAACACAAGCATTGACTAGAGTGGCCACGTCGGAGCCGTAATGCGCCGCAGACGTGTGCAGTGTAATAAGGGGTTATCCAAGCATTAATGGCAAGGAAAGCCCCTTGTACTTGAGAGCGGCCACGTATGAGGTGTTTCTTGGAGGTTATAGTACATTAAAGAATGATCATGACTTTTTACGTACACCATGTGACCTGTAAATGCGAAAAAAAAAAACGTTTCCATTGCAGTTTTGCAAAATATTCCTTTTTCGAATTGCCTGAAAAACCACCTCATGCGAGCGCAAAAACTTTTTTGCGATATATGGGCGTTTTTGTGAAATTGACGCATTTCAACACAATTTCAATTTGCGCAATTTGAAGAGTAATGGAAACGCGCCTACTGACAGCAAACGTTTTCTATAAACACAGGACTGCAGATGAAGGAGTAGAGGTATTATTTTATTACTTAAAAGTATGTACAGGTTTTATCCATTGGAATAACGGAACATATGACTATATGTACAATTCATTTTTTTACATTATGTCTTTACAAGAAGTTGCCTTTAAAAAAAAACAATGCCTTGATAATACATGGAAAAAATACACACACTCACATACAAATGAAGCGTTGCAATACACACATAAATAAATATCAACATCAACATTCACTGACTGCCACAACAAATATCTCTACAGCCAAGAACATATACAGTTTACATAATTTCATCGGAAAACACGTGTATGTTATCATTAATAAACAAAACACTCTCATTTAGTTTTAAATGCAATATTGCTAACATATTGATATGAGGCGACAAAATGGATTGTTTATGCAATCTAGATTAAAGACACATCTCTTTGGCCAAGCATTCAAATAATATTTGTTTACTATTGTCATTTTGCATTATTGACACTATTTTCCTAATTAATGCTGTTCAGTTGCTTTGACACAATCTGTATTGTTAAAAGCGCTATATAAATAAAGGTGACTTGACTTGACTTGACTTATGCCCAATCAAAGGAAGAGTTCACCCAAAAAAATGAAATTATTTAATCACACTCGTGTTGTTTTGAGTTATGAGCTAAGCATTTCCCTAAAGCATCATAAGCCTAAGTAGATCGTCAAAAAACATTGGCACCAACGATCTCTGCAATCTAGTTAGTGTTACGATGCTTTTAGGAAAGAACGATGTGCTCTGGTTGAATGGAAAAGAGCTGCATTAAGATTCTTCAGAAATGAACAGCATATGATTTTGCAATGACATGAGAGCGAGCAAATTATGACGGAATAACTGAAGGTTTGACATGCATCATCAGATCAGCCTTTGCTCTCAGTTAATGCTGAATTTTCTTTGATAACATAAACAGATTAACTGCAGCGTCTCCACAGCTGAATCACCCCATTCGTCCATTAAAATATAATTCAATTTCATACAGTATGACCAAATCGCAATGCTTTACCTCACCCTTCTGAAATGGTGTAAATTCACACATGAAATGTTGCTGTCGAGAGTTTGAGGTGATTTCTTAATCAAAGTTGTTGCAATAAAAACCATAGAGCTTGAGAGAGAACGAGGGAGAGGCGTTCAGATCATAACATCTGAATATCGCATCTGTCGAAAACTGCGATTAGCTGCACGTCGTGTTGCGTCTTCTGACCGTTTCAGTGTTTCTCTGCTGAAGACTTATGATGCTGCTTCTACCGATGATGAAGATGGGCTTCTGTCAAGTACAAAAACATATGAAAACATCAATGTCAAGGATCCATATGAAACATATTCTTTTTTTTTTTTTTTGACAATTCCCATTGCACTGAATGGCTGAAAGTGACAATTCTAATCTGATTTTCTGGTCGGGATGCACCAGACCACTTGGAAATTAGGTAGTTTTCCCAAGGTGCCGGACTGATGCAATAATAATACATTTCAATATTTGATTTTATGCACTTTTTTGTTGCTTTTGAACAACTTCCATTAAAACTGTGCCAATATAGAACTGAAAATGGCTGAAGCTGGTTTAAAATTTTTAAAAAGAGACATTGTGGGATTGAAGTATTGGAATGATGGGAACAAAAACAAAACAAGACCATAATGCAAACTAAAAACAAAAACTCTAACTTCAAAACACCAATTCATAAAATAGAACAAAACATGAAACAAAACCACCATCAAAACTCAAAACACAACAAATGTAAATTAAGCAAACAAAATACAAACTAAAATGAATAGTGTATCAATTGTAATCCTGAGAGTCTGTCGGATCGCTGTGCTAAACTTTGTCGTTGTATATCATATATAGTTCTACTTATTTTACGGGTGTTGTGCGTCTATTCAAAATAAGTGTATTATATCTATGTATGTATTATATGTTGGAAATATGTTTTTGTTGCTTAATATTTTTTTGGAACCTGTGATACCTTTTTTGGGATTCTTTGATAAATAAAAAGTTAAAAATAACAGCATTTGTTCAAAATATAAATCTTTTCTAACAATATAAGTCTTTACAGTCACTTTTTTGCACAAATGTATTCACTGTTTGCCATGGTGGATCGATTTGACCCACGATAAACATTAAGGGTTGCTTAAGAATAAGCGTGCACAAATTAGTGAGATCGCATGAACTTAAACAGTCGTTTATGGAACCTCTTTAGCCCCGATTTATTTGTTAGGTTATTTCAAGTCAGGTTTTGGACTTTAATCCCCGCTTTTCTTAGCGTCTGATTCACGCAGCAGCAGCGGTGATGAGAGCTAGAACCAGTTTAGAGAGGAGAAATCAATCTACATATAAAATATTGGTCACAGATTGGCCACTTTCTAAATAATAAAAGTATAGCGCATCCACTAGTAATTATATATAATTAAATCGGTTTTTACCAATGCAAATATGTTAGAAACAATGCATCGCAATACCGATTGCAACTTGTAGCCGATGCACACATTTTTAAATCAATGCATCGCATCGTTAACATTTAGGCCGATGCACCGGTGCGAATCGCATGCTAACTGACAAAATGTGACGTTAAATGGTTGAAATATTAACGCTCAATCTCAGGGGAACTTCAAGTAAATATGTTAGGTCAAAGCGTTTGACTGACAAAAAAGTTTGGGAATCCCTTTGTAACAGTTCTATATTGAATTACTGTTACTGTAGTTCGTCTCCTCAACACTAGGGGGCTACGTCCTCAGGTATGAGGGTGAGGACTCCAATATAAGTGGAGAGAGTAAGTGAAGTAGGGGTGGTTGGTTTTAATAGAGAGGCAGGATATTTGAGTGGTAGCTCACCGTTTGCATCCTTTGTTAGGCCAGAGATGGGAAAATGTTTTTCTACTGAATCCCTGAGCCTATATACTAATAATATATCAGTATCAAAAACTCAATGGATTGTATCCCATATTTTTATTTGTGGCTTTCGTTAAACTGATGTTTGAGAGATTTTGTTACACAAAATGTCGCCCGAACAGGGACGATCCAAATTATATTGAGTAAAAACAGTGTGTACTTACTTGAGAAGTAATTCATTTATATGAGAAAAGTTTTGTATAGAGTGTTTATACCCGTCAGTCGATTTATTGCATGAATACTCATTCTGAAGGTCATACTTTCTCATAACTTTTCTAGATGGCGACTGACCCTGCCGAGACTGGGAGTGAGTATCTCATAGAGCCTAACTATAATTCAGATGCATTTATTGTGCGTCGGGAACCTGTCCGAGACCTGATTCAGTCATTCAGTAGTCTTTATCTGGAGCCTGAGCAGGAGGCTGATGAGGGGAAGGAAGTGGAAGATAGTGGTTTGCTACCACTTCCATCACCTCCTGAAGATGAAGATGAAAGTCTTATATCTCTAGTGTTGGCCAACCAGGTTAAATATTTGGAAACTAGAATGAGTGAGATAGAGGGAAACCTGAGTGGTCGTCTTGATAAGTTTGAAACTCAGGTGCTGGATAATTTGAAAACTCATCAGAACAAAATAAGTTCTTTAGAAGTTCAGGTCAAGGTTTATGAAAGGTCTTTGAACCAACGAGATGAAGCAATTGTTACAGAGGCTAAGAATGAATGTCAACGAATAAAACAGGTCTTAGAGGAAAGCATCCAAGATTTGGGTAGAGCAGTCATGGATTGTCTTAAGTGGAGAGATGCTACTTCCACTCCTGCCAGACATTCAACTCCACTTCCAGAAATTTACTCTCGCTCTATTAGTTCATTGGCAAGTTTTGCTTCGTCTATATTGACGATATTGTGATATATTCTACCAATGTCCAGGAGCATTATGGACATCTCCGTCAGCTATATGCTGAGTTGGAGGCTGCAGGATTGACATTGAACCTGAAGAAGTGTAATCTTCTCCAAAAATCCCTTTCTTTTCTTGGACATGTTGTCTCAGAGGGGGGAGTGAGAACAGAACCCTCAAAGGTAGAAGCCATAAAAAACTTCCCCATTCCCAAGACGGTGAAGGAAGTTCAGCGCTTTCTTGGGTTAGCGGGTTGGTACCACCGCTTTATTCCTCATTTCTCCGAACAGGCAGCCCCTCTCCATGCTCTAAAGAAGAAAGAGGCTAGATGGGAATGGACCGCAGAGTGTCAGCGAGCTTTTGAAACCTTGAAAGAAGCTCTTCAGAAAACCCCTGTGTTGCGACCCCCTGACTTCAGTCGCGACTTTCGAGTGCAGACTATTGCTAGTAACATCGGGCTCGGAGCGGTTCTTACTCAAGAGTCAGAGCAGGGAGAAAGTGTCGTAGCATACGCTTCAAGACTCCTGCATGGAGCTGAAAAGGCCTATTCTACAGCAGAGAAAGAATGCTTGGCAGTTGTGTGGGCTGTGGAGAAATGGCGTGAATAACTAGAAGGCCGTCGTTTTGACGTACTGACAGATCATTCTGCTCTTACCTGGGTTTTCAACCAACCCCGACCCTCATCCCGTCTCACGAGATGGGCGATTAGGCTGCAAAGCTTTGAGTTCGTAGTGAAGTATCGGAAAGGTCAGTGTAACCTAGTTCCGGATACATTGTCACGGGGGTTGGAGGAGGAGATCCAAGGGACCATAGCCCTTTCGCAAGCAAATAGTGAACCATATGATTTGCCGGGGAGCTGGGAGGATATCGGTAGAGAACAGAAGGAAGATGTTACTCTCCAACCTTTGTGGGCTGAGGTAAAGGATGGTAGCGCAAGTTTCCACCGTGTGCATTATGTTAACCAGAATGGGTATCTCTTCAGAAGTACCACTGACAAGAATGGGGGTCAGAATTTACAAGTTGTCATGCCATCTAAACTCCGTGAACATTGTCTGCAGTATGTACATGCCAGTCCATTAAGTGGGCATCTCGGGCGTATGAAGACTTTACGGAGGTTACTAGAGGTAACATATTGGCCTGAGATTCGAAAAGATGTCTGGAAGATGTGTAAAGAATGCCAAATATGCCGACAATATAAACCCCGCATCTCTAAACTGGCAGGGCGTCTCCAGTCCACACCAGTGGTCGAACCAGGGTACATGCTGGGGGTTGACTTGATGGGGCCATTCCCTAAAAGCACTCGTATGAATGAGTACCTGCTGGTGGTAGTGGACTATTGCAGCAAGTGGGTCGAACTGTTCGCAATGAGATCCGCAAAGACCCCTCTAATAGCTAATATTTTAGTTAAAGACATCTTTACGAGGTGGGGAACACCAGTGTACCTCGTATCAGACAGAGGACCGCAGTTCACTTCCCAACTGCTGAATGAGACCTGTAAGCAGTGGGGAGTGGTACAGAAACTTACCACTGCCTATCATCCCCAGACAAATCTTACCGAACGTGTCAATAGAGTTCTCAAGACGATGCTAGCCTCCTATGTCCGAGATAATCACCGACAATGGGACCGGTGGGTTGCTGAATTTCGCTATGCCATCAATTCCGCCTGGCAGGAGAGCACAGGTCATACTCCAGCTGAGATCGCCTTAGGACGGAAGTTGAAAGGCCCATTGGAACGTTTGGTACATAAGCCTCCAAACCCTGACCATTCAGCATATAGTTTGCTAGAGCGGCAGAAAGTAATGCTTGGAAAAGTGAAGGAGAATGTCAATAGAGCTCAGGAACGACAGGCCCGATATTATGATCTCCGAAGAAGATCAGTACAATACCAACCAGGAGATTTAGTCTGGATACTCACTCATCCGCTGTCTCGTGCAGGTGATGCTTTTATGGCGAAGTTAGCAGCCAAGTGGCAAGGTCCTGCTGAAGTAGTGTCACAGAGCAGGATGTTTGAGTGATAGCTCACCGTTTGCATCCTTTGTTAGGCCAGAGATGGGAAAATGTTTTTCTACTGAATCCCTGAGCCTTATGTTAAATTAAGTGTATGTTACACGAGGTCTTGAGTCAAGTTGCTCTATTAGACTTTGTATGATAAGTTCAGCCACGAAATGAGTGTGGGAGATGCCAATGGATTAAATGCCGATGGTCTGTGGATTATTCATTGACTGATTCATCGTGCCATCGCCGGTATTGGAACGCTTGGGACAAAATTGTTGGCAACGGCCAAACAACGCTGGAAATACAGGTTTTTGTAGAACGTATTGCCTGGACTGTTTTGAAGGAACTGATTTGTACATATTATGGGGAGGGGGTGAAATGGTTGTTTATGTGTGGAGGTTGCTTGTTTGTATACACTATGGCACTTTAATATATCAGTATCAAAAACTCAATGGATTGTATCCCATATTTTTATTTGTGGCTTTCGTTAAACTGATGTTTGAGAGATTTTGTTACACCTTGATCATAATATCAAATGATATGTAATCATGTAATCCATAAAAAAGTAACTAATGTGATTATGAGCATTTTGGGTTTCTCCAGAATTATGTTGACTAGGGTTTGGTATTGTTTGAATTTTATCAGTTCCGATTCCGATTCTTTTCGATTCCCAGTTTCGATTCCAATGCGATTAAATAATGATATCAAACATTTATCCTGCGTCTCGTTTTTGCAAACCATTTATTGGAGCTCAATACCATGAACAAAAATCAACAGGCTACATAAAAGCTGGACTCTTTAAGAGCTGTTTGTGTGCAAAATAGAACTGCATGATTCTGGATAAATAAAGAGTTTTTTTTTTTTCTTTTTTCTTTTTTTCCCCAATGGAAGTTGTGGCTCTCTCATGATTCTTTAGAAAAAACATTAGGCAACTAAACAAAGTCACATGTAATTTATGAATTAATGATTAAATGGCTCACTCAAGATGTACTTGTTTCATTACTGAATGAATCGGCGTTCTTGAACGAATCTCTTGTATGATTCAAAGACAAATACATTTTAACAGTCCCTTTTCGCCACCTACTGGCGTAACAATGTAATCGATGAATCATCATTTGAAGTGTCAAATTACTTTCAAAAGGTGATTTACTCTATTTTAATCGCTACCGTACACATCGTACACAGTTTATATCTGAACTATAAACTTTTATCCCAGTACTTCTGTGATTTGAATGTTTGTAACGCAGAAATAATGATACTGTGTGGTTGAAAAGACTGTGAAGCTGTTTCATTCATGACAGATGACAGCTGCTCTCTTCAGGTCAGCGGCAGAGCGAACGCAGGTTTAAATGTTCAAATCACACTGGTGTGATCGTACTCTGCACGGACGAACCAAGTGATCACAACATTGATCGCACACATCAAAGGCTGAGGAATGAAACAGACGAATCATTGTAATTTTCGGAATAGAATCACGTTGGTGTTTGAATCGCATTCGCGATCTTTAACGATCTATTAAATTAACCCTTTAGGTGCCCAGTTTTTTTTTTTTTTAAATGATGGATTTTGACATCAAGATTTCAAAAGCTTGTGGCTTGAAAGGGCTTAAAGATAGACATCTACTGTAAATTAGAAAAAATGTTGGGCATGACCGAAAGTTTATGTGGGGTGTAAATATACTCATCTAATTTGCATATTATTACATCATCAGGGGGCGGCCCTCTTGAATGTCATAATATTCAGGAAATTGTAGATATTGAATTGATGTTTGAACTTATTTGCAAGTTGTTGTTTTTTTTGTCTTTTTATCCTCATTCCAAATGATCAGAAAAGAGGAAACCAACAATAAAACGGGAGAAAGTACTAAATTATTACTATATTACTATACTATATAGTAGTAAAACGCATGTGAACAGTAGCCTACTTTTTGATCAGTTCATCAGTAATATTCAGGAAATAATAGATATTGCCCTTCCACCCCCATCCCCGCTGGGCAAAGGGTCGAAATTATCACTTGTTTGTGCTTCGTGAAGACTCTCGCCTTGCACGGCGGCACCATTGCGCTGCAAAGATGTACTGGGAGAAGTGCGATTATTAGACGACCGATCGTCATTTCCAAAAGGCAAATATTCCCCTTCAGAGTCAGAATCGGCAAATAACATTTGCAACACATCCTCACGGTACAACTTTTTATTAGCCATTTCGCGATTTTCTCTCACAAATCTCACAATTTACTCGCACGCTATGAACTGAACTGCTTCCGCATCAATGACACAATAGCTCACTCGCTCTGCTCTTTCCTCAAACACTTTGAATAGGAACGTGACATAATTTTGGTCTAGAATCGAAGTACTACATGTCTGCCATCTACTGGTAGGGAATACAAATGAGATATTACACCATATTAGGAACTACAGTCTATTTGGTTAAGTATGACGTCTTGTTACAATTTTGCGACTTTGGCGCTTAGAGGGTTAAAGTGCTTTGTCATGTTGGTGGTGACGCCTCGCTTGCAACATGTTTAGCTATCACAGATATTATACTGAGCTTTTTTGGCTTCTGATCGCAAATGTAGCCAAACTATGGAGCGCTTAGATTAGCGAGCAAGGCCCTGGCAGATCGCTAGGTCCGGTTCTCACAGAAAAAAAGCGCATAGGAATCAATAGGCGGAATCTAAATTTTAATTTGACAACAAGTATCCGATTCCTGACCTTAAGTATCCAATTCTGGAACTGGAATCGATTTTCGATTCCCAACCCTAATGTTGACTTACTTTGCTGAAGTGGCGGCCGGTCGGGCGTCTGGAAGATCTTCTTTGTCACAGGTCCTTCTCCCGCCGCGGTGATGACCTGAACCTCCAACCTGTAGAAGGTGGCCGGCCTGAGGCTGGACACGACCAGAACGTTACGATCCTGGAAAACATTACAAAATACACACAGCTTTTAGACTGAAACATCATCAGGTCCTTCACGATAAAGCCACTTTTCATGGAAATGCAACAAAAATGGTTTATATATTAATTGACCATGTTATCATTTCTATATAATCCAGTGGATTTTCTCTTTTCAGATTATTCAAATCAGATTATTCAAGAAAGAAGCTCATGTAGATGTTTCTCCAACATGTCTGTCATGAGCTCATTGGAAGCCTTTCAGATTTACTCGTTATGAAGAATGAAATCATCCATAAACATCACAGATTCCACATCATTCATACACAAATCCAATCTGATAATGACGGCGTGCCTCGAACCGGCCTTCAGAAAAGATCTGAGGAGTCATGCGAATGAGAACTGGACACAATTGGATTTGATGTATTTCAATCCGACTGAGTCGATTAAAGCTGAACTGTTTGTTCTAGGAGGAGAGCAGCCAGTGTTATTGATGGAGAAGATCTGCTAGATGTTTGACAGCGCTGATGCCAGAGGACCAATGAGTTCAAAACGACAATCCATCCCCGAGAACATACTAATAACTACCATATGAACAATAATAACGCCAATAAATTTTTTACTTCAAGACAAACCTGCCCATTAGGGCTGGGTGACACAGTTGAAAATTATATCTCAATACTTTTCAGCTTTATATTTAATATTTAAAGTTTAAATATTAAATTATATATATATATATGTATATATATATATATATATATATATATACACTACAGAAATAAATTATATTATTACTTAATATTATATTAATTTATATTTTTACTGGCAACAAAGTCATACAAAGTCATTGTGAACATTTGTTAAATCACTCAGCCTTACTTCATCCAGAAAGCATCCAGATAAGAGGTCTGGTTAGTAAAAGGTGAGCAAACGAACAGCCTCTGAGCCTCATGCAGCGCTCGATTCATCATCCGGATCCTGTGGGCCGATGCCAGCGCTGGCGTTACGCACACAAGATGATTGTGTATCATATTTTACACTCTTGGACTCATGCATCCAATTTTCCATGAGAGGCGCTCCGGTAAGAAAGTGCGGGCCAAGAACATGTAATGTAAGTGTAATTTATGCAGCTTTCACGAGAGAACAGCGTGTGTGGAGACGACTCACAGGTGGCAGGATCTGAGACTGGGAAATGATGCTGTTGGGGAGGCTGTTCGGACGACTCGTGCTGGAAACCTCCGCCCATGTGACCTGGAACCCCGTGACGGGCTGAAGCGGCTGCGCTCGCGACACCCTCCAGAGAAAACCAGCTGTCACGTTACCGTCGTTGAAGCTGAAGGTCGCTGTCAGATTCTCAGGCTTAGCCAAAACCTTCGACGGCGCTGGGGGGGTTTGAGAAAAACATCAAATATATCAGGAGGACCGCAGAGAGTTAAGGCTCGGACCACACAAAACCACACGAAACACTTCGGGATCCAATCAGACTGCGTGCATGAGGATGCACCGATTTTTATAAATATGACAGGTAACAAAAGAACGACAAAAATACATTCATATTATGAAAAATTAGGAAACTAGTCAGTGAATGAAAGTTAGTGAGGGTTTTATTTGAAGCACTTAGTAGCAGGGTTATTACTGTTAACTAAGACTAAACATTTTGAAGACTTCTTCAGTGCTTGAAATAAAATATAAACAACTTATTTTATTTCAGTCAGTTGCCAAGGCAACATTTCTCAATTTAATTTAGTTTAAGTTGATTGTATTTAAAATAACAAAAGTTAAAATAAAAACTAAATAAACGTATTTAAAAAAACTAACACAAATGAAAATCACACAACAAAATTAATACAACTTTAACTAAAATTAAAATGGAAAATAAAACTAATGATAACATTTAAAAAAGTGGGAAAAAAAACGTTAGAATTAAAATGGAAAATAAAACAATAAAATAAAAGAAAACTTACTAAAACTTTAACGGAAAACAGAAATGATAAAATACAAAACTTAATTCAAAATATTAATAGAATCTATAATAGTTTATCAATGATAATAAAGTAACACTGGTATGGGCTCAAAAGGACACTCAACCTCAGTTTTATTATTGTTAACTAAAATTATCTGAACAAACATTTATGTAAATTGACAATTTATAATGTTAACTAAAAATAAATGTTAACAGAACTAAAATGACAAAAAAAAATTAAGTAATACTTTCAGTAAATATTTTAGTTAGCCGCTATCTATCTAAAACTGAAATAAAAATAAAATGTTAAAAAAATAAAAATGACAAAAAAAAATTATAAAACTAAAACTAAAATAAAAATTACTATAAACTATGTAGATATTTAAAAGAAAAACAAAAACTAATGACAAAAACAGCAAAATTATCAAAGTGTTAAAAATACAATGAAAACAGAATGTAGATAGATAGATAGATGATAGATAGATAGATAGATAGAATGATAGATAGATAGATAGATAGATAGATAGATAGATAGATAGATAGATAGATAGATAGATAGATAGATAAAAGTACTAAGACTGAAATAAAAATTAATAAAAATAATTAATAAAAACAATATAGACATTTAATAAAAATGACAAAAACAAACAACAAAAAAACTAAAACTAAAATTAAACTGAAAATATACAAATAAACATTCAAAATATTGATAAAAACTATAATAGTAGATCAATGATACTAAAATAACACAGCTGGTACAATGTAAATATAATATGCAGCCATAAAAAGCTATAATATAGTAACAAAAAAAACATTTTCTCCTAAATAAACCTGAATTTTTATCTCACTTTAATCCCTCAAATGTCTAAATGTATGAAGTCGCATCCTGAAAACAAACACTTCCTGATGAGTGATAAACATGCTCACTGGTGTCTCCGGGACAGGCGATGGGTTTGACGCTCTTGCTCCTGAGAGTCGCGCAGGACGGCGTCAGGAAGCTGATGCTCTCATCTTTGGAGCGTCGTTTGGCGTTGAGCGTGTGAACAGTGACTCTGTACTTACAGGAGAACAGCAGACCGGGCAGATTGATGAAGTTCTCCTGCAAAAGACAAACACGTTTATCAAAGAGTGACGCTAGCAACGTTAGCAACCTTCCTAAAACACAGACCCAAGCAATGCCTAAAGATATGGAAGGTGGCCAGTACCAAAAGTCTTTAAACGGATTGCGTGAAATTTGACGTGTCAACATACACTGTTTGTCCTGTGTGTATTACACGTTTATCAGTTCAAAAGTATTTGAGACTATATTTGCATATGTGACATGATGGTATGTTGGTATATGTATATACGTATACAAACATCAGATTTCATATTTACTCATGAAGGATGTCGTAATGGTACACTGGTATGCATGTTTGCAAACATCAGACGTTATATTTGTTCATGAGGGATAGTACATGGCATGTTGTGTGTGATGTGAGTCTTATGTCATGATTTGTCATTTCCTTATTAGATGTTTACTTTAACTTTGTTTTTCAGGTAGAAAATTCCTAATTTACATCGTTACATTAATTAAATTACTCTAGCACAGTAGACTAAATAAACTAAAGAAAGGATTCATATGTGGCTAAATCTAGAGGTAAATCTATTTTTAAAAGTATTGCACGTTTGAACACGGCCAGAATCAAGAAGTCAAGAGACGCGTTCAAATTGGTCTTAATGTGGTAAAACTCTTCATCTGTACACATACTACAGAAACATGGCAAAAACTGATGCCTTAACACGGCCATAATCCGCGTCTACACGTACAAAAGAAACACATTCAAAACTGCTGTGATAACATGGATGAACAGTGTGCATTGACATTGCAATCAAATTTCATGTGTTCCGTTTAAAGACTTTTGGAACCTTCTGCCTTCCATATAAAAGCTGCATTACAGTCATGTATTACATTTGATCAGTTCATTCCCTGGGAATCAAATCCATGACCTTGGCATCACTAATATACTACTATAGTTTGAGCTACAGAACACCCTAGCAACCACATAGCAACAAAGTAACAACCACTTAGAACATTCTAGCAACTACACAGTGATGACCTAACAACCACCCAGAACACCTTATAAACTGCAAAGCAACATTCTAGTAGGGCTGCACGATAAATCGCATGCGATATTTAACGCGCATCTTATCAGTAAAGCCGGTTCTGCCGCTGATTACAGACCCGGCTTTCTGACAAGATGCGCATTAAATATCGCATGCGATTTATCGTGCAGCCCTACATTCTAGCAACCCCATAGCAACTAGAACACCTTAGAAACTGCATAGCAACACATTAGCAATCACCCAGAACACCTTATAAACTGCACAGCAAAATTCTAGCAACCCCATAGCAACTAGAACACCTTAAAAACTGCATAGCAACACATTAGCAATCACCCAGAACATCTTATAAACTGCACAGCAACATTCTAGCAACCCCATAGCAACTAGAACACTTTAAAAACTGCATAGCAACACATTAGCAACCACCGTAACGTCTACATAACAATGCCATAGCAACCACTTGGAACACCATGGAAACTGCATAGCAACACCCTAGCAAGCACCCAGAACACCTTAGAAACTGCATAGCAACACATTATCAACCACTTAGAACATCTTAGCAACTACATAACAGTGCCCTAGCAACCACCTGGAATGCCTTAGAAACTGTATAGCAACACCCAGAACACCTTAGAAACTGCGTAGCAACACCCTAGCAACCACCCAGCACAGAAAGCATTAGAAACTGTATAGCAACCACCAACAACACCTTAGCAACCCCATAGCAATGTTCTGACAACCACCCAAAATACCTTAGAAACTGCATAGCAGTACCCAAGCAACCAGCTTGAACACTATAGCAACCCCATAGTAACATACTGGCAACCTCCCAGAACACCTTAGAAACTGCATAGCAACACCCAGAACACCTTAGCAACCCCACAGCAATGTCCTGGCAACCAGTCAGAACACCTTAGAAACTACATAGCAACCAGCCAGAATACATAACCCTATAGCAACATCCTGGCAACCATGCAGAACACTTTAAAAACTGCATAGCAACACCTAGAACACCTTAGCAACCCCATAGCAACACCCTGGCAACCACCCACAACACTCTAGCTTTCACCTAGCAACCAGAACACTCAACAACAACAGTTAACAAGCAAACAACTATCCCATTATCTTTGGAAAAGGTAAAAATTTAGTTTTTCAGTCATGAAGTGGGACGACACATTTAAACACGCTGATTCCCGTCCGTCTACAGAGAGCAAACGTGCGTTTCCTAGCAGCTAGCGTGCGGCGCGGTGAAGAACGCGGCTCGGGGCCGCAGGTTCAGGCTCCAGTGGGGCCGCTTTGGGGGTTTGATAAATTCAATCCCGCTTCCTGGAAATGTGATTTTAATGCTTGTGTTTTCTTAGGCACTGGAGCACATTCTGAGCACATCATCTGAAACAACACGCGCTAATCAGCTTCAGTAATGAAGAGAAATGAGGCTGTGCTCCCGTAAGAGACTCTGCGTTTCTGGAGAGCAGAAACCCCTCATGAACACTAACACACTGACCTGAGTCACTGATTTCTGCGGCGCTCCGGTTTGATTGTGGCTGCAGTATTCAGGCATCCACTGAACATGAAAACGGTTCACGACAGCATCTGCAAATCAAACATCAACACAACTTAAACATCTCACAACACACACACAGCCTGATCAGCATATATTTAGTGAGGAAAACATCTCTTGATTGAAAGAGAAAGAACATATATTTTGTTCCGCAAAACAAATCGAACGACACTCTTTAGGAAACATAGTGGTCAAAAAGTGAATTAAAATCATTGTTATTTTTCTAAATTGGACTAAATATTTGAAAATAATTTAAATAATAATAATATATCTATAGAATAAATAAATAATAAATAACATTTTAATTTTCTAGATACTTTTAAATCAACTAGTCGTTTTATAAATTAGACTAAATTAAAAATGAGAAAATATATAAAATAATAAATAATAATAAATTAATTAATTTGTTCTAAATTTTCTGATTTGTGCTATAAAAAGTTTAAAACATTTTTTCATCCTTCATCTCACTGTTTTATCAACTAATCATTTTTAAAGACTAAATGAAAAATGAAACTAAATAAATAAATGTAATTATTCTAAATTTGTGCTACAAAAAGTTCAATATATTTTTCATTCTGCATCTTACAGTTTCATAATACATTTTCATAATAAATCAACTAGTTATTTGTCCTAAATTAGACTAAATTATTAAATTACAATTTAAATAATAAATAAATTATAATTTAATTCTTCAATATTTTCTAGCTTGTACTACAAAACGTTCAAGATATTTGCTTATTTGTCATCCTGCATCTCGCTGTTTTATCAACTACTCATTTTTCTAATCTAGACTAAATTGAATAAAATAAAAATAAATATATGCAATAAAAAATGCATAGTCATAAACAGTGTTGGGGGTAACGCATTACAAGTAACACGAGTTACGTAATCAGATTCCTTTTTAAGTAACCAGTAAATGAATGCATTACTTTTAAATTTCCAATTAAATATTTGAGTTACTTTTTTAAATAAGTAACGCAAGTTACTTTGTTTTCCCATTTATTCACTGACACCTCTCCTGTCCCTGTGTTGAGAGAAATCGGCCTTTACAGTTGTCAAAAATATAACTTTTGGTGTTTTTTTGTTATTAAAAAGCCCAGGTGACAACAAGTAACATAATGCATTACTTTCCATAAAAAGTAACTAAGTACTGCAATTAGTTACTTTTTCATGGAGTAATGCGATATTGTAATGGATTACTTTTAAAAGTAACTTTCCCAAATACTGGTCATAAACAGAAATATTGATCTACAGATGTTTACTTAAATACTTTATATATATAAAAAAATGATGCAATATGTGACGATGCAAGTGAATCGTGACACAAATGAGTCACAAGACGAGAAGTACCACAAAAAGAAAGCAGAAACCTAGTGGCCACTGAAAGATGCGAGTTGCATGAACAACAAGAGTAAATAATAACAGCATTTTAATGTTTGGCTGAACTGTTCCTGACGGTTTCTATGTAGTGTTTATCATCATGAAGTACCTGCGCGCGTTTCTTGGAATCAGGCATTAAAGTGAACAGCGGCACGAGTCTCATTTGATTGGTTTCCTCCTGCGCCGGCGATTACAGAACAGTAGAGTCTCGCTGCGCTAATCAGCAGTGTTTATGCAACGCCTCCCGTTTATTATTCATCAAGCTGCGCCGTTTGGATGTCAAACGAACATTTCAGATTAGACCCGCCTGCAGATAAGAGAGCCTTTGAAGGAGCCGACGCGAAGCTCAGAACATTTCTGGAAGAAGAAAAAAGGAATCGCAGCTGGAGTAGAAGAAAAAAGAGTGCTGTGTCCGAAAGCTAAAAAACGCTAATTCTCACGCCGTATTCAGAGGAACGTCCAAATCCAGCGTTTGTCTTCTGGTGATATCATATGCTAAATTTTCCAGTTTGAGCTATACAAATATTTTGCCATTCTACACCTTTTTGCCATTTATTTATTTGTAAATTAGACTAAATAAAAAAGTAAACAATGCATTAAATGGTAGCTAATAAATAAATAAAATTATTCTAAATTTTCTAGTTTTGTTCTAAAAAGTTCAAGATATTTTTTAAATCTTGCATCTCACTGTTGTATCAACTAGTCATTTTTCTATATTAGATTAAATAAAATATGAAAATTAATTAAATAATAATAATATAATAAATTATTTAAAATAGTCTAGTCTGTCCAATAGAAATTAAGACATTTTGTCATCCTGTATCTTCCTGTTTTATAATCAAGTCATTTAATTCCTAAATTAAACTAAATTAAAAAATAAATTAAATGATGAATAATAATAAATTAAATTCCAAATTTTCTAAAATTTTCATACTGTATCTTGCTGTTTTATTAAGTAGTCTATGTTCTAAATTAGACTGAATTTAAAAAAAAAACATATAATTATAAATTTTATTTTCTGGTTTGTGCTACGAAATGTTCACAATATTTTTTTCATCCCGCTGTTTTATTAACTAGCGATTTTTCCAAATTTAAAATTAAAATAAATAAATACATACATACATTAATTAATTAGATAATCAAATGATTCTACATTTTCTGGTATATATTTTTTTAACATCCAGCATCTGTTTTATCAGCTAGTCATTTTTCTACATTTGACTAAATTAAAAATAAGGAAACAAATTCAATGATTTGAAATTTTCTGGTTTGTGCAATAAAATTTTCAAGGCATTTTTTGTCTTGCTATTTTATCAGCTAGTCATTTTTCTAAATTAGACTAAATAAAAAATCTGAAAATAAATTAAATAATAAATTAATTAAATAAATAAATATATAATAAATATTATATATAAAATAATAACATATAATATATAATAAATAAATGAAAAAAATATAATATAATATATAATAAATATTATATATAAAATAATAAAATATATAATAAATAATTATTTTAGTTTGTGCTATAAAAAGTTATTTTGCCATCCTGCATCTCACTTTTTTATGAACTAGTCATTTAGAAAGACCAGCTAATTACAAAAATATGTCACTTTGCACATCCCTAGCTTGAATATCTGAGTGTGAGTGTGTGATTGTTGGCTGAAGCAGAAGTGAGATTAGTTCAGCTTGAGCTGATGCTTTGAGTCCGGCAGAATAAAAGCCCAGAGCAGGATTTGAGTCAACAGAAACACGCAACACCTCCGAACGAATCGCATCAATAGCTCAGACTGTTCTCAGCTTCCTCAAACGCCAGTGTTTGCCTTCCTTCAGTAAAGCAGGAGCCGAAGAGAGTCAGAGAAATACACAAACATGTGAGGTCGCTCTCAACACCATTCAGAACCGAATTAAAATAGAGCAATAAGCCCCTTAGCTGTTATAAATTCACTGTAAACCACAGCTTCATGGGGTTTATTGCTTTTATAAAACGGTTATTCCATATACGTAGTAAGGTTTCACAAAATAAAACAGAGCAAATAAAGTGTAATGATATTAATAAAAACAGTATTCTTCCACCAAACAATGTAGCTCCTCAGAAACAGTTGTGGTTGCAAGCAACACACAAACATAAACAAAGGTGTATGTTACTTTGTAGAGTAATGTAACGCGGCTCAGCCAATCAGAATCAAGGACCGGAACTCTCTGTTTTATAAAGACGAATTTGAACTGAGGCGGATGACGCAATGAAGAAAAATCAAATGTAACGATGTGAAATTGAAGTTAAATAAATAACTTCACATAACTGATGCAAGTAGTTTTTAGTAATATATTTCTTTTTTTTATTATGAATCACCCATAAACAGCAAATACATGAACATTACATGCTATTAATAATACATTTAAAATTGTAGTTAATTTATGTATTTAATAAATCATGTCAAATGAACACTTCATTTCCTAGAATGCTCCTAATTTGGTCAATTATGTTAAATATTAATGGAGAAATATGTATTTATATACCTGAAAACAATGTGGTGGCATTTTGTGGTGCTGTAGGTGATAATAAAATTCTCTGATATTGAAGTAAATAAAAAATACAAGATATTTTGTCATCCTGCATTTCACTGACTTAACAACTAGACGTTTTTCTAAATTTTAAAAAATAAATAAATAATAATGGTAATGAATAAATGATCCTCAATTTTCTAGGTTGTGGTATAAAATAATTAAATTATAATTAAATGTTGTTTTAATGGCTGTTAATTAATTTGAGAGTATTGAACTTTAGAGAAATACATCTATGTAAAAAATAAACAGGCATAATTATTCTAAAACTATATATACACTACCGTTCAAAAGTTTGGGATCAGAATGATTTTTAATGTTTTTACAGGAGGTTCTTCTGCTCCAAATAAATGCAGCCTTGATGAGCAGAAGAGACTTCTTTAAAACACATTACAAGTCTTACTGATCCCAAACTAGTGTATAGTCAAGGTATGTATTCACTAAGAAGAATTTACATGCACCAACATAACAGTTCATATGAATTAATTAATTGTTTCAGAGTAATCAACCGATTCAGAGTTGTAAACTGATTCATTTAAAAAAAGTTTGAAATGATTCAAAGAATCGCAGGATGTTCGTTAGACTGGGAGACCGAAATGAAATTCCTGTTGAGTTTGAATCTATTTGTGAATGAAAGGAAGCCAGTTCTGAGTTGTGCAGGATGCAGACGCAGACACAGATGTTGTGTTATTGGCTGTGTTGCTGTATGTTCGTACCTCCTCTCTTCTTCCAGTAGATGTGGACCTGCAGCTCTCTGTCCTGATAATACGGCGTACCAACCTCCAGAGCGCCGGCGGCTCGCTTCATCGACACCAAACCCAGATCAGGAGCCTTAGATACAGCCTCTAAATCAACACGTCACACACGAAACAGATATAAACAACCAGCTGATTTCCACTTATACTGTTTATGTCGACATCTAGAAACAAATCCACTCAGAAACTACTAGAAAAGAAGCACGTAACACTGAATTAAAGTGACATTTTGAAATAGTATTTTCTTTAAACACAACTATATTATTGTTCTATTAAGGCTGCGCAATATATTACAAATTTAAAATTAATATTCAAAACTGCTAGACTTGTTGTAATATTCTAAAGTGGTAAGATATGTTTGAATCATTTCTGTGAATCAGTTCAAACTTTTCAATGAATCAGTTTATAACGCTGACTCAATCAATCGTTTCATACGAACTGTTATTTTGGTGTACGTAAATGCATGTGATTTAATATGATTCTTCTTTATGTTTATTTAGTGAAATACATACCTTGACTAGTTGAACTAGATTTTTACTTTACTATAATTTCATTATTATAATTAGTTAATTATTTTACACTCTCTCACACACACACACACACACACAGTTATTTGTACTATAATTTAATGATTATAATAAATTAATCAGAATTATATATTATTTCATTATAATTATTTTAAGTATTTACTATATATATATATATGTATCTATTATATTTGTCTATTTATTTTTTAAATGTCATTTTCATGAAAATACATATATATATTATTATTATTATTAATTGCATAATTGTATTACATATTACAATGTACATTAGTATTCTATATTCTTGATATATGTTTGCGGTGAGCTGGTTCGCACTTGTCTGGTTGTGGAGTTGTGTGTTGAACTGAACGGAGGTTCTGGCGCTCTTCAGTCGGATCTGACCCCAGTATGAGACGGCCTGGACCTCCACACTGTAGCTGCTGTTTGCCTGAAGTCCTTCCAGATCCACCGAGCTTCTGGCCTGAAACAGCAGAAGAAACCGGTCTCTACACTTTCACCTTCACTTCATCAACCAACTCAACCATCAAAACCACATCAAGCCATCTGATGCACGCCACGCTTCCTCAGCCATTAATGGTTGAAATCAAACTTTGATGCTTGTTATCTCATCATTAGATTTTGAGACTTTAGCCTGGATTTCACAGACAGGGTCACATTTGTGATATTTAGTGTATATTTGACATTTAACATAAATCTGACATATGATATTTAATGCAATTATGACATTTTATGACACTTAATTTGTAATATATTTAACATATCTAATATATAATTTTTCAATATTTAATCATTCTGACAGGTAATGCATAATTTATTTGACGTATATTTAATACATAATATATTGAACACATTTATTATTATATACAGTATTTGACATTTATATATTTATATTTATATATGCATTTCTCATATCTGACATATTTAATACATAATTTATTTGAGATTTAATATATTTAACGTTTAATATATAATTTATATCTAATCTATAAAATATTTGACATATTAATTATTTCTGATAGTTAATGCACAACACATTTGCCATGTTTATAATATTTAATATATTTGAAATTTGATGCATACCATATCTGGCATTCTTTTAATACATAATATATTTTAACATATATTTATATATTTATATTTATATAAACATCTGACACATTTAATATATTTGATATTTAAGATATAACATATTTTACATGTTTAATACACAATAAATCTGATATATATATATTTATTATATAAAATTCTTCTATATTTAATATATAATATTTCTAACATTTAACATATCTGACACACATTTAACATATAATATACCTGAGATATAATAGATAATATATCTGACATACATTTAATACATAATATAATTACCATGCATTTGTATATTTAGATTTATGTATACATACAATATTTCTAACACTGTTAATATATATTATATTTGAGATTTCATGGTTTTGAGTGTAGAGCTTCATTTTGACCTGAAAATAGGATGTTTGGGGAATTGGGTGAGACGTTATGGATTTGTGTTTACTGTTTTGAGAATACGAGGCATAGTTTCAAGAAATGCGTTTAAGCAATTGAGAAAAACTGTAATATATAATATATCTGAGATATAATATATTTGACATGTTTAATATATAAAATATATATATTTTATAAAATATCTGATATATATTTTATGTCTGAAATATTTGACATTTTATACTGTATGTATTTGACATATTGCAAGTGACATGTCAAATATATAACTAAATATATAACAGATACAATTCATAGCAGTAAATTTCGTGTGAACTTCTCTTATTTATTTATAGCTGATTTACAGAGTAACTCCATGAAGAATCTCCCAGCAGTCTTTGCTCTTAATGGGGACGTGATGTATTGTTAAAAGCGCTATATAAATAAAGGTGACTTGACTTGATGTGCTGCTGATTCTGGAAGTGCGTTCAGAGCTCAGAGTGACCACTGAAGTCCAAACAAGCACGGGCCGTATATCAGGAACACATGTGGACACGACGAGCGTTTCTCAGCTGATCAAGCTCCTGCATTCCTCCAGCAGCGTGAGCTCGGTTAGATCGAGTTATTGAGTTAGTGAGCGGGTTAGTTTGGGCATTCCAGCAGCAGCGGGTCACTAACCAAACCCTGCGATCGAGTGTCGGACGTTATCTACACAGTCGCCCTTACGACCCTTACGACATATCACACCCAAAAATTTTGTTTTTCATTCTTCTTTTACATTTTATACTTTATTGGAATGGTACGAAACTTGCTGACTTTTGTGGCATTTGCTGTATGAACTCAGCCAAGATGTCTGGATATGATTAGAAAAGGCAAAATGGCCTTAAAAACGCTTGTGATCTTTGCAGTCAAAAATGAGCACCATAATGCAATTTTTGGGGTGCAATCTATAAATCAGCTATGATAAAGTAGTTTTTGATCATGTCATATGCAAATGCAAAACCTAATAAAAGTAGTGATTATGTCTGAAAATACTCTTATGCACAAATATATATATACAGTATATATATATACTGTTTTATGTTATATATGTTTATCTGTGTGTGCGTGTGTGTGTGTGTATATATATATATATATATACCGTATATATAGCAGTATTAATCCAAAATAATTTGCAATATATATTTTTATATATATTATTTCATATAATGTATACATGTATATAATGTAATGTAGCTGCTGGATATCAATAATACAAAAATATTAAAAAAAAAATAATAATAATAATATATATATATATATATAAAACTATATAATATTAAAAATATTAAAATTGCTACAGTTATAAATATATAAACTTAATTTTTAATTTATAAATTGAATAAAAATGTAATTTTTTATTATAAATTTCTTAACACATATATACATACACACAAACTTCTATAATTATAATTAATATATGTATGTTTGTATATATATATATATATACATATATATAAATTGAAAATAACATGCAGTTTTTTAATGTTTGTATTATTATAAATATATATTAAAGCTGAAATATTTTTTTTAAATATAGTACACGTGTTTAATTTTTGTAAAAATGTTACGCTCGTCTTCGTTCCAGGAACAGTGAAGGGTTAATCGTGTTCAGAGTCTTGCACTGAATGGCCTCTTGTGTAAATGCACAGTTTTGTAAATAAACTCAGGTCGACTAAAGATGTAATGGAAGGCCTGCATCTGCGTCTCTCTGTGTGTCGGTGTGATTTGTGAAAGCGGCTCTCACCCCGTCGCTGGTCTTCCTCCTCCTACTCCTCCTCCGGGACAGCATGGCTGATTTCCCCGGGACCGTCCAGCTCCAGTAGATCTTGTAGAGATGGACGGGAACGTCGGGCTCCGCGGGAAGAGTCCAGCTGATCCGGACCGTCAGCAGACCGCCGGGTCCCGTCGTGATGCGAGTCGCTCTCAGTCCAGACGGAGCGGGAGGAGGAGACGGGTCTGCAGACAGAGAACATCAGCGGACACTCGGATGATTCCTGTGGGATTTCCACGAATCATATAGAAAACAGTGGCCAAGATAGTCATTAAAATATACAGAAGAAATAAAGTCAACTCAATGAGTTGAGTTCATTTTTATGTAAACTAGAGGTCGACCGATATGGGTTTTTCTCTGGCTGATGCCGGTGCCGATATTTAGAAATCAGGGCAGCCGATATATGATGCCGATTTTTGGCCGATATGTTTGGCCAATTTTCTTTTCTTTTTCCCCCCTTCATCTCATAAAAGATAATTTTAGTGTTTATTGCAATTAAATGCAAGGTACAAGATAGTAATAGTAGTAGTAGTAGCCTAATTCATAGTAATAATACATGGCTCAAAACTTAAGCACCTTCTCAAAACAGTTCTGAAGCATGCTTTTTGTTTATGCTTGCTGAGAGACACCAGCGTTTCCCACAGACTTGCAAATGCAAATTGATTCTCTGCCATCAGGAGGCGCTGTTGAAGCGGGAAATATAGCTGTTTCCCCGGTAACGACTGTGATCAAATAAGCACTACTTTATCAGGCATTACAGGAAAGGCGAAATGAAAATAACAAAAGCTTTTCTGAAGACGGTCGGTTCTTTTCAAAGATACGTTCATATAAAAACACCCGTGCTGCATTTTAATTTTGAAACGTGCAGTGCTCAGTTTATTCAACGAAGTATAAGCCTTTTGGAAAATCTATTTGTGGCTGTCAGTTTTGATATTGTGACGAGCCACCACAAATAGATCAGTGTATGGGAAACACTGGACACTGCTATAAGTCAAATGGCCACAGTGATAACAAAAATAAAAGATTTCACACATATTACACAGCCTGCTGCTCATAACTGGCCGTGCACTGGCCGCGAGCGATGACATCGGACCCACACACACATTTAATGAGGAAAGTTAACATGCATATTTTATCCAGCCCCGAAGTTTCGTCTGAATTGTTTCTACTTTCACATGCAAATGACTTGTTACACTTACATTACCGTGGGAAGTAGGGGTGCTGGGGGTGCTGCAGCACCCCCAGGAGTGTAGCCCACGAAAAAATGGGGGTGCTGGGGGTGCGGTGTTAAAAATAAATGATTGAACAATATGTAATACAAAATAAATAATATTCATTTTATTAATTAGTATATTCATTCAAATTTATTGAAAAAAGTAGCCTAAGCCTACAGTGACAAGAAGCAATGGTTAAATATGAGTTAAGTTGAATCAAATTGACTGTGAAAGTCGTTTCAACTGATTAAATGTATTAAACTGACTTAAAAAATCATTTGTTGCCATGATTTTTGGATTATATTATAACCTGTAACATGTCCCTGCCGTTCTCAAATTAAGAATTAACAACAATTTCTACAGACAGCAGAGAAAGAGCGAGAGCGTCTACCTCAGCAGCAACAAATCTCGCATTCTCACATCTGTAGCTCTTATTTTGATCTTTAACCTTAGGTCTTTCCTATTCTTGAAGCAAAATTAATTCTTAAGGTTGTTTCAATATTACTCTTAATGAAAAACACACACACAACATCAACAATGCTACAATGACAAAGTCGCTTATATTAAACATAAAACTTTTATGAACAGATAAGAACAAATAAGATCAGTGGCGTAGCGTCTGGTTATGCAGGGTATGCAGGTGCATATGGGCCCAGGCAGTGTGGGGGCCCACCGAGCTGGGGGGAACTTTTAATTGAAACGAGGGAACGAATAGAGCCCTGCACGGCCCTTGTCCAACAGCTTTATG